ATCCGGATACCGGTTACCGGAAAATTAATATCCGCCGAACTTTGTTAAACGGTTTTAATTGGTTAAGAATTTCACCCCGCTGAATCTAAAAAGAAGTCAAATAAAAATTCAGATTTTGATTGCACCTGGTATTCTAGCTGGTAAAGTCAATTAACCATTACTTGACTTGGTCTATAAAGTCAACTTTGATTGATGTTCCAAATCATTTATTTCCTTTTAATGTGACTCTACGTATATTGGGTGTGTAGGCCTACGAGAAAAATTTAACGATTCGTCCCACCGACGATTCGCATGAATCGGGGTCAGCCCGGTCCTAAAACGTACTATGACCCAGAGTCAGCTCGGCCCTATTCCAACTCCGCACGGGTCAACTCGGCCCATAATTACATATTACTGGTAATGTTTACTTTTATAACTTTTTATAAGTTTTCATCACAACTTTCATTGTTAAATATTTTCACAGTAGATCTAACAGACTCAAAGATATTGAAAAGTGTTATTGATGAAAGTACCAATTTGTATGCAGTTGACCCGTATTTTCGGGGGTTTAATGTTTTAAATTTAAGACACCGTTTCGTTTCGTCTTTTATGTTAACAAATGTTATTTTAAATTAATAGTAAATAGAAGACAAAAAACATCAACAGTAAGTTAGTCCAAATATTTAGACATAACCGCGGATGAAACTATTTTTTACATGGGTCAAATCCGCTTTAACGTCTAAAGATATCTATTTAAAAATCCATAGCAAAATGAAAAACAATAAACATGCACAATCATTCAAACTTCCGATGTAAAATGTTACAAATAATCATAATCCTACCTCAAATGTGTATTTTCCTTATCAAAATCAACTTATTCAAATTTTAAACAATTTAAAACAAATCCCGTGTAAAAGTTGTGTTCACAGCCTCCATATTGTGTGTACTACGCAATGCGGTGATTACTGGAACCAAATTTTTTAGACGAATTTTTTACTGCGTGCACCTATCAGTGTCTTAAATCACAACAGAAAAAGTTTTCGTTCAGACTAATTTCGTACTATTGTTTTTTGAGTGACGTCACAGCATGACCGGGAATTTCCAATATGGGGGTCAACATAAAATATCTTTAATGTGTCTTCTTAAATATATGGATAAATAAACTACTTGTCATGAGTAATTTTTGCATATTTTTACAGTTTTTGGGAAAATATGCTTCCGTATTTCATGCAATCAATTGCTTTTTGTGATAAATAGCATTTAAGTTGTGATTAACCGGTAAATTCAAATCGACTCGAGAAGCGCGTCGATTTGTGCTATGGGAAATTAGCCAGTTATGGAAAGACTTCGCATTTTCCGATCAACGTCAAACTGTAAAAAAAAGAAAATGCGATGTCTTTCAATGAACGACTAAACAGTAAGTAAAAACTATGACAAACAAAGAGGAACCGTTTAGAATACGATAATACGATAATAAACTATTTAAATAATAAATCCTAATCTTTCTACTTTCACTATCGGTAGTCTGAGTCGCTCGGAAGCTGTCTCATATTTTCGGGGATTTTGATTGGATGGCCTCGTTTCAGTAGTTAAATTGCACGCACTCAAATTCTATACTGCACTCAATGTATTTCGGGACATTGGTTAAAGTTACGCATAAGTCCTGGTGATAAATTCTTAGGCGGAGATACGTTTTTAGCTCACCTGTCTGTGTCACAAAGTGACAGGGTGAGCTTTTGTGATCGCTTTTCGTCCGGCGTCCGTCCGTAAACTTTTACTTTAAATGACATCTCCTCATAAACCACAAAGCCAATTTCATCCAAACTTCACAGGAATGTTCCTTTGGTGGTCACCTTTAAAAATTGTTCAAAAAATTTAATTCCATGCAGAACTCTGGTTGCCATGGCAACCGAAAGAAAAAACTTTAAATATCTTCTTTTAAAAAACCATAAGAGCTAGAGCTTAGATATTTAGCATGAAACATCTTCTAGTGAGTGTTTACTAAGTTTGTTCAAATAAAAGCCCTGGGGTCAAAATTGGCCCCGCCCCGGGGGGTCATTGATTTTCCCTATATGCATATAGTAAAAACTTAAAAATCTTCTTTTAAAGAACCCAAAGAGCTAGAGCTAAGATATTTAGCATGAAACATCTTCTAATCAGTGTCTACCAAGTTTGTTCAAATAAAAGCCCTGGGGTCAAAATTGGCCCCGCCCCAGGGGGTCATTGATTTTCCCTATATGCATATAGTAAAAACTTAAAAAATCTTCTTTTAAAGAACTCAAAGAGCTATGGCTAAGATATTTAGCATGAAACATGTTCTAATAAGTGTCTACCAAGTTTGTTCAAATAAAAGCCCTGGGGTCAAAATTGGCCCCGCCCCGGGGGGTAATTGATTTTCCCTATATGCATATAGTAAAAACTTAAAAAATTTTCTTTAAAGAACTCAAAGAGCTATGGCTAAGATATTTAGCATCAAACATGTTCTAATAGGTGTCTACCAAGTTTGTTCAAATAAAACAGACTTCCCGAAAGTTAAAAAAAACTGTCAGACATTCGGTCTGACAAACCATGAAAATCTGTCGGACCGAAACAAAATCTGTCGGACCAAATAAAATTGATCAAAATCCAAGAAAAACTTGTGTTTGTATTTCAAAGACACTTTTTGTTTTTTATTTTTTCGCCGTAAAAATCGGCACAATCCGTACAGCGCATTTTCATCTCCTCCCTGTCATACACCAATGATTCATGGTTCTGCTTTCATTTTTCATTAAATTTTGTCTCAGGTCTAATATTCTCATCATTTTATTGCTTTTCTGTGCACTCTTCTGACGTAGATTTTCGGGTTTTCCAAGGTTTGGCACCTTTAGCGACGCCATTTTGTATACATGCGGCTGGATAAAAGCCGGACAGTCGGACCGATCCGGAATAAAAAATTGTCGGACCTGATCAAAATTTATCGGACATGTCCATCGGACCGACGTATTTCGGGAAGTCTGATAAAAGCCCTGGGGTCAAAATTGGCACCGCCCCGGGGGTCATTGATTTTCCTTATATGTGTATAGCAAAAACTTAAAAATCTTCTTTGAAAAAACCCAAATACAGTAAAGACTGTTTACAGTGACCTTCGATGGGAGAAAAGAAAAAAGGTCACTATAGACAGGGAGTCACTGTGGACAGTCTCTACATAATTCGGATATATGAACATATCATACCAATATTTTGTTGAAAAGCAGGATAGTACCATACTAAGGGTTTAATTATATTTTTATTGATATTAAACATATCAAATATCATTTATAAAAAACAAGAGAGTATTAAAATTGCATGTATAATTGGTTAAGATTATAAACTACACCATAACATTAGTATTTAAAAGTTACATATTCATTAAAATGTAATTTATATTGATAAATCTGTTTGTAAAAAAATGCTTAATTTCAATTTTACTAATGAGATGTTACTGTAGAGACATTTAATTTTGTATAATCAGCCTGTTTTCTTTACGGAGTTCAATGTATTAATAAAACATTAGATAAAAAGCTCCACATAATTTCTACAGATAAGTGCTCCGAAACAAATTAACAATCGAGGTTTCAAACATAACCACATCTTTAAGACGTTTGGCATTGTTGATCTTCAGTCGCCAAAACACTGCAGCAATTATGTATATGCAGGTGTCTTTAATCATTTTATCGGCAAAAATTGATTGAATCTGTCGCCATTTTGTGTAATTGTCAACAAACAGCCACAGTGAATTAGCGTGTCGCCGATTGGTCAATACAAACTGCCGTAGATACAACGCGCGTTCTGATTCGTCAATCGCATGAATACGTAATGAGAAAGATAAACATAGTGAACTCTTGCCTTGTGGCGTGTATTGAACTTTGTTGATGTAGACACGCGTTCTTAATTAGCAGATTAACGGTAATTGGTTGTAATTGAAAGGTAAACAAATTATTAACAGACCTAGCGGCGTAAAAAGTATGACGGAAAATTATAAAAATCGGGAGACTTCAAAATCTCTATGAAGTTTGTTTTAGGCAAAGTCGCTGATCCGAAGCACAGGCACGAGTATCGGACCTGGGATGAAAAAATATGACCAGATTGATAATAAAACCTGTGTTCATCGCCAAAGTCGTCACCTAGTTCAAGCCTTGCTCCCCTTGCCAAAGTCGCTGTTCACGGCTCAAATACCGTAACGGGTGACTAAATCATGGTCGTTGTACGGACTAGACAGGGAGTCGCTACATACAGACCATTTATATAGTAAATACTGTTCGGCGCACCTAACTATGGTCACTAAAGACAGAACGTCGCTATATACAGGGGGTCGCTAAGACAGTCTTTACTGTAGCTAGAGTTAAGATATTAAGCATGAAACATCTTTTAGTGAGTGTCTACAAAGTTTGTTCAAATAAAAGACATGGGGTCAAAATTGGCCCCGCCCCGGGGTCATTGATTTTCTTTATATGTGGATATTAAGCATGAAACATCTTCTAGTAAGTGTCTACAAAGTTTGTTCAAATAAAAGCCCTGGGGTCAAAACTGGCCCGGCTCCAGGGGTGTCATTGTTTTTAACTATATGTGTATAGTAAAAACTTTAAAAAAATCTTCTTTTAAAAAGCCCAATGAGCTAGAGCTTAGATGTTTAGCATGAAGCATCTTCTTATGGGTGTCTACCAAGTTTGTGCAAATAAAAGCCCTTGGGCTAAATTGGCCCTGCAACGATGGGGGGAGGGGGTTTGGGGGGCCTATATACAGGTGAGCGACCTCAGGGCCATCATGGCCCTCTTGTTTTTGTTCTTTTTTGTTGCTGTGTAGTTGAAAATACATATAAAATGAGAAAAGAAATAATTATAAATGAAATGACAATGACAGAGAACATGAAATATTTTGACATTCAACATATATTTACTACAGTAAACACAAAATCAACTTTGTTTATCATTTTTAGCTCGACTTTTCTATGAAAAGGGGAGCTATCCTACTCGCCCCGGCGTCGGCGTCGGCGTCACACCTTGGTTAAGTTTTTCGTACCACCCCACTTTATTTCAGAAGTATTACAAGTATGGCTTTGAAACTTACCATACTTGTTCACCATCATAACCTCCATCTACAGACAAGAGTACATAACTCTGTCAAGGTTTTTGACAGAATTATG